ATATTTCTTTCTCATGTGATCACGGAGTGTGCCATAGTCCCTGAACATCCTCTCACAGTAAAGGCACTGAAGACTAAGCGCAATGATGACAATAAGTGATGATAGTACTGTTACTTTTCAAGCTTTTCTTGTAAGGAATCGAGAAATTTGTCTATCATAACTAAAGGGAATTATTATGTAGTATCAGTAATAAATAAAGTGTAATATGCAGTACCAATATTATCTGGTTTTCCAATCCTGAAGCTATGGGATTCAAACAAGTGTTCCAATAGTACAGATCTGTTCCCCGTGAAAGTCTCATGACAAAATAAACAGAGTCGCTTAAAATTATTATCCGTTCTCTCAAAATGTTGTAATTCCAGCAAAGCCTCCTAAAAGAATACAAGAAGATAGACAGGAGATTGCTGATGAAGTACGCACTAATCTTTTCATTCTTAAAAATTCTCTCAAGTCCTTATCTTCAGGAACAGAGTCATTGAACAGAAAGTATCTCTCTGGAAGATCTACAATACAAACACTGATAGGACGCACATTCCATGCATTCTTTACATTTCTACCATTTCTTGTTTCGGGGTTAGTCTGGATAACTGGGAAGATGTCAGATAATCGCTCATGAGGAAGGGAGAGTAGCCTTTGCTTCCAATATTTGGCATAGCTATAAATTAGTAAGCCAGAAAAAATTATCACTCAATAATTAAAAGAATGTAAACATAAGCAAAAATGATACATGCATATAAGGTAGGGCACTAATGAGTCTATTATACCGTATAGCGAGAAATTTTCCTGGCCCAAAATTTTCGCGTATCCATCTAAAAATCAATTTCGTGGCTTTAATTTTCATGGTTTTCTACTTTTCGGCCATCTTGAATCGTATTAAATTGATTTTCGCGGATTTTATTTTTGTGAATTTGAAAGAAACGCAAAATCCACGAAAATTTTGGGCCACAAAAATTTCTTGCTATACGGTAAGTGACACGTACATGTACATGTACATACCATTTAAAACTTGTAATATTTTCTGTTCCATGTATCACAATATTGTGCTCTGTCAGCAAGTGATAGAGGAATCTCTGTCGTGCTGAATCTTTCTCTTTTTTAGTTTTAATAGTACAGCTCTCACTGACAATGGCTGGATCAGAATTAATAAATTCCATCTCACACAACAGACAAGGAATTGGTAAATCCTTCTCCTCCTCATAAAAACAAGACATATCTGTACTTTGGGACTCTGGAAATAAAAGTGGACGTAAAATCTGATGTCTCCTGGTCGACACAAAGGCAGGAGAGTCCAGAGATGGTGTAGGAATATGAGATTTATGAGTACTGGCGGTAGCCATTTAATTACTAATAACCATTAATAACTTTATAACTAGATCTATGGATCTATTTATAACCTAAACCACACCCACAATAATTAAAATGTACAGATGTGGTGCACTAATTGTGAAGGGGTCCTCCAGTCCTAAGCAGCTAGTTCCTTCATTGACAGCCGCTGCTGCTCTCATACGTGATGTATTATACGTCCCACTAGCTCCTCTTCCTGTTGAAGAGCCATTAACTGACCTTGCAAGCAGAATAAACAGGATTTACTTCACCCTGTCATGTATTAAACCAAATCTTGACTTGAGGGTCATCCTTCCACCGACCACGCCTCCTGCCACACCTACCACCTTTCCTCTTAGCAACACTCTTGATGCCCTCCTCTCTCCTGAGACGGACTTCAATGCAATATCAGGATTACCTGAATACTCAAATATTTCAATTCGTACTGACGAGCACTTGCAATCAATTTTCAAAACCATTTCTCCTCTTCCTCCTGACCCTGATGCCACTCCTTTAGCCACACCTACAACCATTACGCCACACAGTGACGTTGCTTTAGGCGGTACCTTTGATTCTATTCACATTGGTCACCTCCTTTTGCTAACAACGGCAGCACTCATAGCAACCACGAGGGTACTAGTGGGTATTGCTGATGGAACCATTACTAGCTAAA